TAGATACCTGCTACCCAGGTGTGACTTTGGGGTAGGTAACTTCAAGGCCCTGCTCTCCTTAGGGTTCTTTACCTTTAAACTGGACAGATTTGGACCAGAATGTCCTTCAAACAGAGGAATGTCCCCTTGGTAAAGAAGGACACATGACCACACTATCTTGGGGCATCCTCAGATTATTTGAAAAAAGGGTCACCTCTTGGCTTCATGGGCAGCTTTCTGCTTGGTCAGCACTAACATCCACTAGGCAGATTTTGCTTAGTCTGAAAAGGCTAAAAGCAGCATGGAAAAGAGTCATGCACCATTTTCAATCTACCCATTGCCTGAGGCTGAGTGTAGTAAACAACTATTTCATGCATAGATTTGGGCCTCCCCGGCCAGAGCCGGGCTCAGGGCAGCTAACACCAGTAAAATTACAATAAAAATATAATAGGAAAAAAACACCCAATTTAAAATACAGGTTAAAATACAATTTAAAATGCAGCCTCATTTTAAAAGTAGCCCATACATCAAAACCATAAGGGGAGGGAAACATAAGGGTCAGACTGAGTCCAAACCAAAGGCCAGGCAGAACAGCTCTGTCTTGCAGGCCCTGCAGAAAGATGTCAAGTCCCGCAGGGCCCTAGTGTCTTGTGACAGAGTGTTCCACCAAGTCGGGGCCAGTACTGAAAAGGCCCTGGCCCTAGTTGAGACCAATCTAACCACCTTGAGACTTGGGACCTCCAAAGTGTTGTCATTTGTGGACCTTAAGGTTCTCCACAGGGCGTACCAGGAGAGGCGGTCCCGTAGGTACATGGGGGTCCTAGGTCGCTTAGGGCTTTAAAGGTTAAAACCAGCACCTTAAACCTGACCCTGTACTCCACCGGGAGCCAGTGCAGTTGGTAAAGCACCAGATGAATGTGATCCCATGATTAAGATTATTTAGGGATCCCTGCCCCATTCCAGCCCAAAGTGTCACATAGCAGAGCTCACTTGGCAAGCCTCCATCCTTTCAGGAATGAGATGTTACTCCAGAGCAGGGCTTCTGAACCAGTGACCGTCCAGATTTTTCTTGGACTCCCAACTCCCTTTAGCCAGCATGGTCTATGATCAGGGATGGTGAGAATTCAGCAAGATCTGGCAGGCCAGTACAGAAGCCTCTGCCATCATCTCACATTGTCAAATGGAAGGCGTGCTTGCAAGGGAAGAACTTGGAAAAATATTGTTATGACAATGTAATATTGTGCATGTCTTCTCAAATGTAAGTCCAATTGAGTTCAATGAGTTCATACTCCTAGGTAAGTATGTGTATACTTCAGTACCTATTTATCTGGGAGTAAGCTCTGTTAAACACAATGGGGCTTTCTCCTAATAAACTTATTGGTTTGTATTCATAATCTTCTGACTTCTTCTAGAAGTCAAACCATTCATATCCATTTATATCATGATTTTATCCTGCATTTTCCCCATCACCAATTTTTCATTGTACTTGAAGACTGAAAATATTTTTAGATCACTTCCACTAATGAGACGATGAATTCAAACTGTCTCTTATTTAGCCATTCATCTTTGTCTTATCAACCATTTCCCCCCACCCGCAAAAAAATTAGAGGCATAACTGCTTCTGTGCAAGAGCTACTTACTGCACAGGCACCCACCAAACTTTAAAACCTGAATAATTCCAATTTTCTTGAAAGTCTGGCCTCCCCATTAAGCTCTAAAAGCATTATTTAGTTTCGTTGCATTTCCCCTCCCACCCTTATAAAATGAAATTGATCATATAAGGCTTTTTGTTTTAAATGCGGTATTCACAACGCAAATTATTATGAAGTTATTATCCCAGAAACAAATGGCTTGGAAATGTGTTCCATATCATTCATTTAAATTTTATGGGTTGTTGAAATAAATATGCAAATTGCCTTATAATTCCCCGGCTCGTGACATCGTGGGTGACGGATGCTCGCTATGCACTTGAGAATTAATGTGTGTACACCCACATATATATCCCAGCAATGCTACCCACAACCATTATTTATGGAGCTCTGCTATTCTCTTTCAAGATACTGGCTGGAAGATGCCTGCCACTGTGCTGTCTTTATTACTTACTGCCCCAGCATTGCTTCCTTGCTATTAATGAAATTGATAGTCATATGAGGACCTATTATTAAGTGTGAAAATGAGCTCTGTCTAGAAACAAATGTGGCAAAGGGAGAGGATCTTGGCAGGACTAGGACACTGGCTGAGGTTTGGTATCCAGTCATATTCCCGTTCCATGTATAGATCCATAGAGTCTGAGGCCCCATCTGCACTATAAAGCAGTATGATAAACAGCTGTGGCTCGCCCCCCCCCCCGAATTATGAAGACTGTTGTTATGTATTCAGTGGTCTGTGTTTGCCTGAGCTTGAGTCTGGACTAAAAATTCTGAGCCCCTGTGTTCTGATTCGATATATGATATCCAGCAATTCAGGATTTGGGCCTCTGTCATTGGCCCTTAAACTCTGAGTTACGATTCGCAGCTAGGAAGTTTAGACAACCAATCATGTTGGGAGTAGGGGTGGCACAGACCTTCAGAAATGTATGTAAGCAGTTGCTTTGCCCCTGTTGTCCAGTTCTGTTAGTTCAATAAAGGTTCTCGCTGTTATCACTGTGTCTTGCCTCATGGGAACCCACCTACTGTAGTTTGTTATTGGTTCAGAAAGTTGTTCGGACACCTTCATTTCCCTTCACAGAGTGACAATTCCCAGAGTTCCTTAGGAAGAAGAACTGAGTGTTTGTTGTTGTTGTCATTGTTTAGTCATTTAGTCGTGTCCAACTCTTCGGGACCCCATGGACCAGAGCATGCCAGGCACTCCTGTCTTCCACTGCCTCCCGCAGTTTGGTCAAACTCATGCTGGTACCTTCGAGAACACTGTCCAACCATCTCGTCCTTTGTCGTCCCCTTCTCCTTGTGCCCTCCATCTTTCCCAACATCAGGGTCTTTTCCAGGGAGTCTTCTCTTCTCATGAGGTGGGCAAAGTATTGGAGCCTCAGGTTCACGATCTGTCCTTCCAGTGAGCACTCAGGGCTGATTTCCTTAAGAATGGAGAGGTTTGATCTTCTTGCAGTCCATGGGACTCTCAAGAGTCTCCTCCAGCACCATAATTCAAAAGCATCAATTCTTCAGCGATCAGCCTCCTGTCCAGCAAAACATTGTCTGCTGGACTTCCTGAACATTATTACCCACCTCTGGAGGGCTTAGGTGTGGTACTGGAAGCAGCAGTGACCATCAGTACTGGCATGATCTACAATGGGAAGCTAGAAGGCATTTTAGATTTCCCACAATGCCCTGCCATAGGCCACACTCACAGCATACACTGAAAGCCCTATGATACCACATTGACATACCCTCCAACATTTCTCTGATGAAAATAGGGACGTCCCGTTCCATACTGATAATTTTACTCTTTATACTCCACACATCTTATTGGGTTGCCCCAGCAGCTCTGGGCAGCTTCCAACATATATATAAACATAATAAAACATTAAACATTTTTTTAAAAAACCCTTCCCTATACAGTTTTGCTTTCAGATGGCTTGGGGGGTCAGATAACTCCATACCCTCCAAGATTTCTCCAAGAAAAATAGGGACGTCCTAAGGAAAAGCAGGACATTCCAGGATCAAATCAGAAACTGGGACGGCTTCTCTAAATCAGTGACGCCCCTAGAAAATAAGGACACTTGGAGGGTCTGCATTAAACCATCATGGCTTCCCCCCAAAGAATTCTGGGAGCTGTAGTTTGCTAAGGGTGCTCAGCGTTATTAGGAAACCCCTATTCCTCCCACAGAGCTGCAATTCCCAGAGTGCCTTGGGAAGAAGAACTGAGTGTTTGACCACTCTAGGAATTGTAGTTTTGTGAATGGAATAGCAGATACTTTTGGGACTTCCCCCAAAGGCTAATCATAGCTGATGGTACCAATCGCCACACCTGACAAACAAGCCAACATTTTCTGTGAGGTTCAGGTAGGGTTTCACCTGAAATTTCACTTGAGGTAGAATTTTGGCAGCAACTCTGCATGTTATCTTGTTGCCTTTCTTGCTGCAACTTAGAGATCAGTCTATTTCAGAAAATAATGCCCCCTGGTCCTACTTGATCAAGGCCAGATTATGACCTTTAGAGGCCCTAAGCACTTAAAAGATTTGGGTGCCCCCCCATATATCTTATTCAAAATATAAGCAATAATAAACCGTAAAATAAAATCATATTTTTCAAAATGAAACAAGCAAGATGGAAAATAATGATGTTGGGGTTTTTTTGTTTTTGTTTTGGTATACTTCTACTTTATTTATATTTGGTAGGAAAATCTCTTACTTTTTCTAACTGCAAAGTCTTTGATCAAATCCTTAAAACTAGTCTTACATAACATGTCTGCTTCTATACTTAGTAGAGACAAGGCATCCAGGCGGCCTTGGTGCATAGTTTTATGAAGATTTTATGAAGATTATCCGCTCTGAGACCCCACAACTAATTCTCCCCTGGCCTCGTCGCTGGCCCAAGTAGGACCAATTCAGATAGCTAGCCCTGGGGATTATCTAATGCTTATTTCCCCTAAATACATTTCTGAATTTTGAATTTTATTGTTATTCATGTTTTTATACTGTATTTTAAGCTGCTTTTACAATTAAGTGTTTTAAATTTGTTGTTAGCCACCCTGAGCCCAGTTTTTGAACCAGGAAGGGCGGGGTATAAATAATTTATTATTATTATTATTATTATTATTATTATTATTATTATTAGTTGTTGCTCTGTTGGGTTTTTTAAATATACTTCAACTGAGAAAATGAACGCTCAGCTTGAGCAATTTGTGACCATTAATGTTAAAAATCCGGCAATGGAAAATTTCTATTGTGCCCCCCTTACCTTGATGCCCTAAGAACATTCTTATTTAATCCAGCCCTGTTCTTGATATCCTTGATGCCCTTCAGCCTGTTCTATATTTCTCTCATTTTCTTTAACCATCAATTTTGTTTCCCCTCCCTTCTCAGAGGAGATGGATCCATCCCCTGCAGTGCGTTCCGAATATCTGGTCTCAGGGATTCGAACTCCTCCTGTCCGAAGGAACAGCAAGCTAGCCACGTTGGGCAGGATCTTCAAGCCATGGAAATGGAGGAAAAAGAAAAACGAGAAACTAAAACAGACGTCAGCAGGTAAGTGGGGGAAATATATTTATTTTAACTTTGGCCAGGGACATGTATTATGGCAAAAAAGGGTTTGCAGGATTTGCCTGTCGTAAGAGAAGATCACATTTGTAAAGCATAAGCTGGGCTGTGCCTAGTCAAGTGCAGAAAAAGCAGAGAAATGTTCCGTAGATCGCAAAACATGGCTTTTGAGAGTATTAGTTTTTATTATTTTAAAAGCAAGTTTCAACCCCCCCCCCCCATGATAGCAGGGATAGGCTTGAAATTCTGTAGGTAGTCCCTGAAGAAAGCACAGGAGCTTGGCTGTTCAGGGTGATTTCAGGTGGTCATGGGAAGGGTTTAACATGCTTCCTAGGGACGCGGGTGGCGCTGTGGTCTAAACCACTGAGCCTCTTGGGCTTGCTGATCAGAAGGTCGGCGGTTCGAATCCCCGCAATGGAGTGAGCTCCCATTGTTCTGTCCCAGCTCCTGCCAACCTAGCAGTTCGAAAGCATGCCAGTGCAAGTAGATAAATAGGTACTGCTGCAGTGGGAAGGTAAACGGCATTTCCGTGCACTCTGGCACTCGTCACAGTCCTTTGTGCACCAGTAGCGGTTTAGTCCTGCTGGCCACATGACCCGGAAAACTGTCTGTGGACAAACGCTGGCTCCCTTGGCCTGAAAGTTGCCATTGACTGGACTTAACCATCCAGGGGTCCTTTACCTTTTACCTTAATATGCCCTGTGTAGTTCTGAGTCCCTCCTACAGACTAGGAGAAACTGAATAAATTAAGCAAAAAAACATTGATAATGTAAATATTTACCGTATTTTTCGCCCTATAGGATGCACTTTTTCCCCTCCAAAAATGAAGGGGAAATGTGTGTGTGTCCTATGGGGCGAATGCAGGCTTTCGTTGAAGCCTGGAGAGCGAGAGGGGTCGGTGCGCACCGACCCCTCTCACTCTCCAGGCTTCAGGAAGCTCTGCACAACCCTCGGGAGACCGGCTCCGAGGGTTGCGCAGAGCTGCCTGCCGTCCCGGGCTCAGCGCAGCTCTGCGCAGCCACCGGGAGCCGGGCGCGAAGTCCTGCCCCGCTCCCAATGGCTGTGCAGAGCTGCCTGCAGTCCCGGGATCAGCGCATTTCTCCCCATCGCTAGCCCCACAAGCTCGGGGGACAGCGGGGAGGCAGAGCGCGCCTTCCCGCTGATCCCCGACCTGGTTCTTCCAGCCCCGCACCTGGGGGGGAAATAAATTTTTTTTTCTTTATTTCCCCCCCAAAAAACTAGGTGCGTCCTATGGGCCGGAGCGTCCTATGGGGCGCAAAATACGGTACTTGCTGCAGAATCCAGACTTCCTTCCCACAGATTTTTTTTCTTTTTCTTTCTTCAAAGTTTATCGCAGAGCCATCAAGGCCCTGCTTATAAGAGTTTAAGGCTGAATGCATGCACTGTTTGGCAGGAAAAATCTCACCTCATGGTGGCTTTTCTAGTCACCCCCCTCTGGTTAAGGCATGGGGGGCAGAATGGGGGAATCCACACTTATACACCTTCTGTAGTGGAACCCCGATGTAAGTGGCTCCCATTGATTCAAAAAGGTTGAGAACCACTGTTTTTATGGGTACTGATTTCCCCCCTCAAAATCGGGGGCCTTGCCCAGGAATGCAAACGGAGGCCTTCACAGGTATCATGAAAACACAAACAAAAAATCACTTTAAATATATACCAATTATAATTTATCTTTCTGGCTTAGATTTCTGTTCTTTTAGAAATGCTCTATCTCTCACTAGCCCTTTGATTAAAAGAAGGGGCAGATACTTAAATAAATAATAAGCGAGTAACCTTGTGGTCAGAAATAGCATTTTACTGCAAGAAGTGTTTGTGGGGAGTGAGGACGAAGAGAGTCACGATGCTCAGTAAGACTTAAAGGCCAAGGATTAAAGATTCAGTTGCAAAACAAGAAAGAAAAAAAACACGAATTAAAACTTCTGTATTTTAGGATTATTTAAAAGTGGTTCTGAATACCTCATATTAACACAGGAGAACTCATAGCTTATTTAGTAGCTAGACCTAATGATTGGTTTATAATGACAGTGACTCATTGCAGAACCAGTGAGTTGGCCAGAAATATTGACAGCCCTGAGGAATGCAACCACATATGGTCTAAAATACGGAGGTGGGGTTTTTGCCCCCTCCCTCAATATACCCTGCTGCTTGTTATCCCTTCTCAACAGAGCTGAAAACGGGCCTTAATAAGCGTTGCTAGGCCTTGCCTAGCTGAAAGGAAACAAAGGTTAGGAATTCTTACAAGCAGTTACTGGAGTAGTCAAGCTGTTATTATGCGGCTCCACAGCAAGCTATGAGCTTTTGCTGCTTGCATTTAGCTCCTCGTTGAACTTCTCTCAGCAAGACTTGTGGTTCCATCCAGCTGCGTGTCTTTTCCTTGTTCTTTCTGTTAGGAAATGCAAAGGCCACACTGTCAGGGTAGGGAAAGGCTAGTGGAATCCACTCTGGTTTGGGTCCACTCCCCCCATAGTACACAAATATTGCAGAATTCTTTCCCCAAAAACCATCCTGGAAGGGTTGGGTTTTCCCCTTTTGGCCAGCGGGGGGTGGGGGGGTGATGCTAGGGGAATTATTTATATCCTGGCATTGCAAAACTAACTTTAGCGCAGTACAGTATTATCTTTGATCTCAAATGCCTTGGCTCCCGAACAAATCAGCTCCTGAATGTTCAAAACCCGGAAGTGAGTGTTCTGGTTTTCGAACGTTATTTTGGAACCTGAATGTCCGACACGGGTTACACGGCTTTTGATTGGCTGCAGGAGCTTCCTGCAGCCAATCAGAAGCCCCACTTTTGGTTTCCAAACGTTTTGGAAGTTGAACGGACTTCTGGAACGGATTCCGTTCGACTTCCAAGGTACGACTGTACTATTATTCTAGAAAAAAGAGGTGCCGGAACTCACCATGAATGCCCACTTGAGAGGTGCCAGAACTGAGTCCGGCGAGTTCCAGCTGAAAAAAAAGCCCGGCTTTAGCATAAACATTACCTTGCTTGATAAGATCAGAATTCCATCTAGCCTGGCAGTCTGTCTCAACTGTCCAGAATCATGGGACCATCTAGAGAAGCTGAATGTTGGAAGGTTCAGGACGGACCAAAAAAGTATTTCTTCAAAGTGTACATAGCTTAACTACAGAATTCATTCCCACAGAGAGAAATGGTAGCCATCAGTTTGGATGGCTTCAATGGAGGGGAGGACAGATTCATAGAAGGGTGGGGCTTGTTACTAACCATGGTACCTCAACTGTTGGAGACAGAATACTTCTGAATACCAGTTGTTGGGAACCAACTACAGGAGGGCAGAATGTTCTTGCACTTGGTTCCTGTTTTCAGGTTTTCCATAGGCATCTGGTTGTCCCCTGTGAGAAAAAGATGTTGGACTAGATGGGCTGCTGGCCTGATCCAGCAAAGCTTTTCTTATGTTGTAGAAATGGAACAAAATGAGGTTATTTGTCCCCAATTTGTCTCCAACATCAGACATTCAGCTCTGAGCAACACCCAGTCCCCTCCAACAGAGTATGGTCTGCTGGACCTCATCTACAGTGGGAAACTATGATGCAAATGCCATTTTGGACTTCCTACAATTCTCTGACGTAGCATCATTCCATAGCATCACAGGATCCAAGCCTTTCTTGCTATGTCTTTTGCTCTGGGGTTGTGGGGAGAGTTGGACTAGGGAACTTGCCCAAGTCTTTGAGTCGTGATTCAAAACATGTCAGATGCTGGGAGGAGAGATGGGGACTTCCTGTGATGGCAGAAGCCACTTTACACTGTGTGTCTGTGCAATCCTATAAGCTAGTGTGTTGTAGTCGACAGAGGGCTGGATCTGGAAGACTTTGGAATCCCCATTCCACGATGAGGTCATTGGTTGACTTCAGGATTATCCGCCATGTCCATTTGCCCTAAAGAACTTGGAAGAAGGGTGGGATACAAAAGTTAAGAACGAGTAAGGCAGTCTGATCAATGGGAGGTGGGGAGGGTGAGAAAGAGAGACACTGCATTTAACCTCTCACTTGCTGTGCCATCCTTCAAGTGTGCCATCCTTCACCCATTCATGCAGGCTTCTTGTGTTCTTCATTTCCACGCTCTGTCTGCTCTGATGTTCCATGTTGACCATGCTCACCCCACAACACCCCTTTTTGCAGTGTTAGAGAAGAAGACAACCACAAGGCAAGGTCGGGACGAACTTATTAAGAAAGGCCTGCTGGAAATTATGGAACAAGGCAAGTGAAAACAATCTTTGTATTTTTATTCCCCCCACTCCTTGCCATAGGAAACTGGAAGGGATCTCACTGTTTAAAACAAACAAACAAATCAGTCATTTTAGATAGGTACTTTAGCACTCAGGGGGAACAATGAAGGGGGTCTAGACTAATGCCCCCCCCAGTGTTTTTCTTCTGTCTGTAGTGAAGGCATATGTATAGATTTTATAAGTGATTTTCAGCTTGGAAGACATTTTGCCATGTAAACATTATATCAAAATAACATCACCACCACATTTTGTTCCTGTAAAACCCACATGCAACACATACATGCTGAGAAAACATCCTCCAATTTCTGCGAAGTTTTCTGAAGTCCCTCGAGATGTTATATTTTTTAAAACATCTGCAGCCCACCTTTCCTTCCAGGAGCACAAAGTGATGTACATGGTCCTTCCTTTACCCATTTTATCCTCACAATACCCCTGTGACGCACATTAGACTGAGAGGAAACGACTCACCCAAAGTCACTCACTGAACCTCATGGCTGGGTGAAGATTCGAAGCCTGGTTTCCCAAGTCTTAGTCCAACACTCTAACCACTACACCACCCTGATTCTAACTCCCATCAGCTGTAGCTAACATGGCCAATGGCCTTAGATGATGGAAGCTGTTGTCCAGCAACATCTGGAGCGCCACAGGTTCCCCATCCGTGCTTTGCTCTAATGGTTAACCCATTTCTGGTTCAATATTTAAAACAAACAGAGGCGAGGAAACTCGTGCATCATTTTTAGCCAATAATTTCTGTACCTCTGCTCTGTCATTGGCATGGCTTGTGTGGTTACACCATTGACTCCATCACACATTTGCCTTCTCCTCTGTTCCACTTTCCTCTTCTCTTCCAAACATCTCTGGAGAAGAGAAGAGCAAGAACTGGGGTGTTGTTTTTTGTTTCATTCTCGTCTTTGCCATGGTCCTATGTTGCCAAAGAAAGCTTCGAGTGAGCAAATTTACAACGCAACACCGTCTGTCTAGGCAGGAGAGTTTGAATAATGGGTCGCCAAGAGCAATCTAGCATGATCCATGTTCTTCCTTCCCAACACGATGGATGCCTTGAGTCTCGGGGGGTTTACTTTACAGTTTTAGTAACACATGCTGTTTATTAACCTCTGTTTAAAATTCACCCACAATGTCTTTTTAAAGAACTGTCCATAAGCCTGTTCCTAGGTACGCGGCAGTTACATCCTCATCTTTTGCAATTAAGCACTGTTTTAATGCAAGGGTTTGCGGTTGTCAGATCTGCATTATTACGCTCAGCAAAGTGCATTAAATCTTGGAAGGCTCTGGAGCTTCTGTTGTACCAGAGGAATGCCACAGATACTAAAAGTGGAATCATAGAATTGTAGAGCTGGAAGGGACCTTGAGGGTCATCTAGTCCAACCCCCTGCAATGCAGGAATCACAAGCCCAGTGTAAAATGCATTACTGTTACATTATCTTATTGCACCGGAAACACAAAATCCTACCACCTGAGACCAACGTAGTATATGACAACTTCCAGTTGTGTTTGCAGGAATTTCTGAGATGATCTGTGCAAAGTGTTTCAAGCACTTTAAAGTATGACATAAATGCAGATATGATTATAGCTTTAAAATGCAAAATTGGAGGTAACTGCACTGAAGAATGAACAATAATTATCAGATCTGTAGGTTTCCCTAACAGACATCCAAAAGGGGTCTCAATAAACTGAACAATTTTGTTGTGGATTTGCAACCAGCTCCTGCAAATTTATAGCGTGTAGGATCAGGCATCCAGTGAAGAGCTGAGAATCCAAAAAGCTTCAGATATCGTTACCTAAACATTACAGTTTTCTCAGCTTTGAAGCTGTTTAAATACATTTAGAAGTATGTAGAAACATAGTTGATTAAAGGACACTGAAGAAGAATCAAAATGTTTGTGCCCAAATTGGATCCCCTTGGGGGTGTTCCTTTTCCTCCTGGCTTCATGCACAAAAGTGACCAGATAATATCTAGAAATGCAGTAAAAAGTCAAGCTTCGGAGAGATTTTGGGTGACATTTTTTTTTTAGCTCTTAACTGAGTAATGCCCACAGCTAGAAGCAGTGGGGAGACAGTGCAGGGATGGAACTTAACGGATGGGAGCCCAGAAGACCACTGACACCCCTAACCCTTATCTGAGCATGTATAGTATACTGAAGAACTGAATTATCAGAGTTGAAAATACGGTTCCTATTTTTTATTTTTTTAAAAAGTGGGTGTGAGGTTGGAAGGAAGGAAGCTAAGAGTGGGAAGAGGGAATGAAGAATGGGCTGTTCTATTGTAATAATGTGAAAACCCTAATAAATTATAGGGAGAGAGAGAGAGAGAGAGAGAGAGAGAGAGAGAGAGAGAGAGAGAGATAAATGCATCTAATCCAATGTGAAGCATCTGAAGTCCAATTGCAGAGAGTTGAGCATGTCTTAGGAAATGCTGTGTAACCAGTTTCAGGCAGCACTAAGATGTTGGGCATATAGAGGAAGGGAGGAATTATCATCTCCATAGTGTAGCACACTTTTTAAATGTGGGTTGGATGAAAGGTAGAGAAACTCTGCTATCAAAATGTATTGGGCTGGCCCTGGAAGGGAGAGCACTATACTTCGAGTTCCAGGAACTAAACTAGAACACAGTCCCATCAACCAGAGATCCTTTGCTAGGCTCAGGGGGATCTCCAGAAACTAGCCTTTCTTGTGCATCTCCTCCCTGTCCCTGTCCACCGTAACAAATCCCCACCCCTCTTTGTCCATCACTTTTTCTCTCAGTGGATGCTTTGTCTGAAGAATAAGCTACTTGCAAGTTCTGCCTCTGTCATTTTCGCTTGTTCTTTCTGTGTGGCTCCCATGTCCTCTCCTTCACCTCTCCTTAAATTTCCTCGTCTTGCCATGTCTGGGGACCTGTTTCCCCTTCGCTTACTTGATCTGTAGTTCAGGAGTGGCTACCTAGCTTTTTTGGCTTAAAGGCTGCCTTCTTTGTTTGAATAATCCATAATGGGCATGGTCCAAACAGTTGAGGCCATTCCACACTAACTCTCTCATGGAGGGGTATCCCTGGCTGCTAGCCACAATATCAGTTGATGCGAACTGTGGGTGGAGGGCACGGTACTGCATTCAGCTTCTGCTTGTGGGCTTCCTATAGACACCTGGTTGGCCACTGTGAGAAAAAGGATGTTGGACTAGATGGGCCGATGGGAGACACAGAGGCATACCAACAAAGGAACGTGTTTGCATTAGGGGATGTCCTGAAGTAGAGGACCTTATGCATTATATCTTGTGCTGCCCCTTATATTATGAAGCAAGAGAAAGGTTTTTAGCACCTATAATGACAAGGTCCCCTGGCCAGAACCCCTCTGACATGATTTTATATCTCCTTGCAGACACAGATAAGTATGTGACCTGGCGTGTAACACTCTTTGCAACTTCCGCTAGGAAAATTAGAGCAAATTATATAGCCAAGGTAGCCACCAACTGTAAAGGAGATGAATTTATTTGACCCTATCAAGCTATATTTTATCCTTATCACCAAACTCTGAATATAATTGCACACTGTATTAATTAACATCATTTTTAATATATTAGTGGCCATGTGATAATTTTAGCTTACAAATTTTATTGTTTAATGTCTTAATTTGTATATTAAGGTACTTTTATAGCTCTGTTTAGAGTAGGTAATGTCTTGATAACATAAATGTTTTTTGTATCAATCCAGCATCTTTTCTTTTAATTGTTGAAGGATTCTGTGTACATTGCGGCAGCCTTTGAATATGTGCAATAAAACTGACTGACTGACTAGATGGGCCACTTGCCTGATCCTGCAGGGTTCTTATATTATTATATTCTTATAATCCCTGTCTCTCACACAGCGCACACTCATGCACATGCATGTGTGCACATGTATACAGACCATAGATACAGCTCTCCTTCCCTCGCTCCCTTTCTCTCTCTTTCTCTCACTTACACACATCCAGGAGCGGCTGTTGCCCTTGACCTACCAGCAGTGACATCCCTGTTACTTACCAGAAGGGGGAGACAATGGAAGGATGGACTCTGCTGATGCGCCTGCATGGCCTCCAGCTCTCTCTTCGTAAGCCAGGAGGGTGCGCTGTGCTGCGCCTCTTCACTCATTTCTCCTGCATGCACCTGACACCACACATACTGCCAACAGTGACTAGCAATAGCTGTCTGAGGTTTCAGGCAGGAGTCTTCCCTAGCCATACTTGGAGATGCCAGGGCCTGAATCTGAGGCCTTCTGCATGCAGAGCAGATACTGTATTCTGAGAGCCAGTGTGGTGGTGTGGTTAAGAGTGGTAGATTCATAATCTGGGGAACCGGGTCCAGGTCTCTGCTCCTCCACATCCAGCTGCTGGGTGACCTTGGGCCAGTCACACTTCTCTGAAGTCTCTCAGCCCCACTCACCTCACAGAGTGTTTGTTGTGGGGGAGGAAGGGAAAGGAGAATGTTAGCCGCTTTGAGACTCCTTCAAGTAGTGATAAAGCGGGATATCAAATCCAAACTCCTCCTCCTCCTCCTCCTCCTCCTCCTCCTCCTCCTCCTCCTCCTCTTCTTCTTCTTCTTCTTCTTCTTCTTCTTCTTCTTCTTCTTCTTCTTCTTCATTGCAAAGGCCTCAGCCTTGATGCCTGCCTCCCATACCCTCCAACATTCCTAAGATGAAAACAGAGACATTTCTCACTCCCCCTCCCAACTGACCCTCCTTGCCCCCCCTTTATATGTCCTCCCACCCACAGAGCATTTCCTATCAGAAGAAGGGCAAGTGCCACTACCGCCACACCAATGGGACACAGAACACACAGCCTCTGCCGACCTGAGAAAACCCATTCTAGTCTTTGGTAGATTTACAAAAAAGAAGAAGAAAAAAGTACACACTTTGAGGGTATGGTCTCCTCCTCTGCTGCATCTAGGAAAGCATTTGAGATATAATTTGCAAAGCTTCCCGGATCAATCTGTTGAGCTCTGAGATACTGGGAATTTCCTTTCCGATGGTTTACCAGTAGCAGTGGAGGAGCAACCAGGCCTTAAGCCCAAAGTCTCCACTGCTGCAAACTCTCCTCACCTCTGGTCTATTCATCCCCCTCGACAGGGTATCGGGAGATTGTGAATCTTCTACTCTTCTTCTTCTGAGCTGCAGCTCTGCTCACCTCCTGCACCACCAGCCCTGCTTGCCTTCAAAACCCATGCCACTGCTTTCCTTGTAAACACCACAGGACCACTTTTCTCATACGGCTCCTCAGAATACAAAGTAAACGTTGATGGGGATTCCTCCCCTCCCCACATTTCTGCAGCTTGTCTCTGCTACAAAAGTGTAGGGTGTCACCCAAACGACCAGATTTTATAGTGCACAAGAAAGGAAAGACAAAAGACACGAGCAGCAAACAATGCGGGTGGCAGTTAATATGCCAATGACTATGTATGGGCTGGCTTCACAATGAGTTGAAACGTAGGCAATGAACTCCCTTCTCTCCCTCCTCGCAGCGTATCATAGCAACTGTGCTGCTGCAAAGGCTATTTTAAGAACAGTAACTTTTCTCCGAACGTGATTACGAGGCAGAGTGGGCGAGCTCAGCCTATAAAAATGTTGCGCTGGGAGCTCTGCAGCATGCAGACTAGGTTTCCCCATGTCCTCAGATTGCAAGCAGTGTGAAATGCTGGGTCTGAGTGCCCTTGATGAAACGGGGGGGGGGGGGAGTTGAGCTCCATAGAAACTCCTTTCAATCACCGCTCCAGAAACTTGTAATGAAATAGTAACAAGGATAAGCCGGTCTTGTCATCAGCTTCTGATGAAGGGTGTCTCAAATGGAGGGATGTGAATTCTCTGGCCGGAGATCATTCCAGGTTCCTCACCCATGTTCCTCTTCCAGTAATTGCATTGGTTGGATTACAGTGCTGAGCCTATTATTTCTGAGGCAGGGAGGTTGAAGGAAGACCAGTCTCAGTAAGGAAAACATGGCAACGCTCTGGCTCGGAGCAGAAAATAATGAAGGATACTCAACCCTCAGTGTATTGTTTACGTTGGCCTAATAGATTCCACCACCCCTATCTTCTGAATTATTTGGGATCCTATCATGTCAGATCAACAGCAAAGGTGGTTTTTAAAAATGTGACTCCCACATAAGCTTGCGCATGGGAAACACAGAAGTTGAAAACAGAAGTATATATATTTCCTTCTGGCTTCTGAAAATGGATCCAGGCTGGGTTTATTCCCCACCCCCTTTTAAAGAAAAATCTAATTGTGTACACATTTTATGTAATTTAAATTATACATAGGAAAATGTCAGTGGCTGATTTGAATGAATACTATAGACCTGCTCTCACATCAAAACAGCATATATCCTCATAGGTTAGTTTTTTTTCTCCATGGCTTCACATTTTACAGTTTTTGGAGGGAACTCTCTTCTCTGAGTTTGCAATACATGTGTCATGTCTGACAATCACATACAGTGAATTTGAAACAACAACAACACAGTTTTCAGAGAAATGGTCTACATTGGTCTCTTGTAGCAAAACAACAAAGGGTCTTGTGACACTTTAAAGACGAATACGCTTAGCCCAGCATAATCATTTGAGGAGTACAACCCATTTCATCAGAGGCATTGAATGAGGTCATCAGCTGTCAGGTAACATCTGGGGATGTCACTCCTTGCATCTGCTGATGGGGACTGTGGTCAACAAAAGCTTATGCCATAATAAATTTGTTAGCCTTTAAGGTGCCACAAGACTCTTTGTGGGATTTTGGTCTGTGTATACTCAATGTACGTATACTGGAAAGGTGTGCCTGATAGCTACATTCTAACATGTGCACAGAGAAGGCAAATCTTACTTGTTTCATGTGCTGCATGCTAATACTTACCCAAGTTTGCCTTTCGTGAATACATTTTGTAGCACATGTTGCAGCCTGCATTGTGTTGTATTTTCAGACTTAGGGAACTGTCCCTGGTGCTGATTTCTCATTTGCTTTTTAAGAAATTCCCTAATCGCCCATATGGTTCCGTATACTGTAATCGTATGAACCATGTTGATAGTAAACTAATAAAAAGCAAGGAAAAAATAAATAGATCCCATGGAGCTGGGTTAAATTGTTTGGGAGAGTAGGGATATATCTACATGCACTAATAAGGGAAAGCATACAGCCTTGAGCTATTTTGGTTTGCTCTGTCCTTGCACCTCCCTTATCGGGTGCTTCAACTTCTTTGTGATCAAAAGCATCCTATGGTCTCCTCTAGTGGTCTGTAATGGAAAGAAAGAAATTCAACTTCCATTACGCAGCTTACTTCACTCCAGCTGCCATGAAAGAGGCAAGAGGCAAGCAGAGCTTAAGTAGTCGCTTTAAAACGTACAAGAAATGCATTCCACAAGGCCATTCTCATTCCTAAGATGAGGAAATATCTTATAAACTCAGTTAATTTCAACCTAGCAAAATGCCCATCAAATGCCATTAAATCAGGTAGGGTATGCAGGGAAAGCCAGGAAGCCAGGGAGATACAGTATATTTCTGTATGCTCTGCACACACAAAGTCAAAGTTCATTCCTCCCCCAGTCCTTGCCAGTGAGAGATGGGCCACTTATGTTCAGGGATACATTTCACCTGTACCACAATTGCGCCTCCAAATGATTGTGGGTTTTGTTCTCACTATATATGCAAGACAGTAAACTGGTGAATCTAGATGAGAGCTGGTCCTGCCATGTGGATTAGACAAATTCATGAAAGGTAAGGTTATCAATGGCTGCTGGCCACAAGAGCTATGATCTATGTCCACTGTCAGAGGAAGTATGCCTCTGAATGCCAGTTGCTGGGAGTCACAAGTCGGATGAGTGCTATTGCACTTAGGTCTTGCTTGTGGGCTTCCCATAGTCATCTGGCTGTCTGTCATGAGAACAGGATGCTAAACTGCATGGGCCTTTGGTCTGATCCATCAGGGTTTGTTGCTATGTTCTTACATCAGGATGAAATAACATGCTTTAGGCAGCACCATGTGGAGGAGGAAGATAGATGAAGACAGGACTTGGTGATGGAATGGTCAGCACATTGGCCCTAGCCTAGCACTATTTAGGATCCACTTAAGGCAGGAAAATCATGTCTTGGGCCTTCAAAGTTTCGGGCCTATGCTTAAAGTGGGGGCTAAGCCTGTTTCCGTGCTTGGTGTCCCCAGGTAATGAGAATTAACTCTGTTCCTAACTGCATAGTCCAATCTCACTATCTGTATAGCATAACCTTGAGCTCTACTAGCATGTGAAGAAATACTGGAATGTCTGTCTATCCTCTCCCTGTCATTATTCCCTCCCTCCAAACATTGCACCTCCACCACACATGGATAAGTGTTTGTATCTCATGTAGAACACCACAAGCACTTATTTAAAGACATTGTGTATATATCTAGTCTGCATGCTTCCACGGCAGTCCATCCCATAGCACTACTATGGAGGCCGTGCACTGCATCATTTATTGGTTTGTTTTGAGCACCTGCATACAGCACCCTTAAAGCAGGGGTTCCCAGGCTGGTTTTCTGAGAACCACCCAACGAGGCCCTCCTTTAACTCAGAACCGTAGCATGGGAAGTGGGCGTCAGAAAATCCTTAATGGTTTAACTAATGAGAGAATGTCATGGTGTCCTAGATTCTGAAAGCAAAGCAGCAACTGGTGCCACCAGAGCAATGCTGAGTGACCCTTCATCCCCCACATGCCAGGCACTTACCTCAGAAGAGACGCGGCAGGAACATATATCAGCCACAACCAATGCCACCTCACTTGGCGAGGAGCTGCATTCAGAAGAGCTGAGAGAAGATTCAGGTATTGGCTTTGCAACGGTATTGGCCTTCTTTCCATTCCGCTGAGCTGCAATTGAGTCAGTTTGATGCCACGGTAGGATGTGGTGTTGGGCTGGCCCTATTCTTCTTCCCGAGACCAGAAGCTCTCTACCATTTTACTGAGAGAAACTATGATTGAGACTGTATGTAACTGGAGGTAGCATGTTGTCCAGCTCAGGCCCTCTCTGTACTACAGGTTAAAAGCAGTATCATGCCACATGGCTTTCCCCAAGGAATGATGAGAAGTGTAGTTTGTTAAGGGTGCTCTGAGTTGTAAGGAGACCCCCCTAATCCCCTCAGTTTCTTTGATTCCCAAAGTTCCCTATGAAGAGGGATCAAATGTTAAACCACTCTGGGACTTGTAGCTCTGTGAGGGGAATAGGGGTCTTCTAACCAATGCTCAAGGGACGCGGGTGGCGCTGTGGGTAAAACCTCAGCGCCTAGGACTTGCCGATCGCATGGTCAGCGGTTCGAATCCCCGCGGCGGGGTGCGCTCCCGTCGTTCGGTCCCAGCGCCTGCCAACCTAGCAGTTCGAAAGCACCCCTGGGTGCAAGTAGATAAATAGGGACCGCTTACCAGCGGGAAGGTAAACGGCGTTCCGTGTCACGCTGGCCATGTGACCCGGAAGTGTCTGCGGACAGCGCTGGCTCCCGGCCTATAGAGTGAGATGAGCGCACAATCCTAGAGTCTGGCAAGACTGGCCCGTACCGGCAGGGGTACCTTTACCTTTACCTTTAACCAATGCTCAAAAGCTTGCCCTGGCAGCCCATATATAACCAGGACAGATTCAAGGTTCTAGCATTAATTTACAATTTGGGTTCCAGATACCTTTGTTAGAATTCCTGCTCCATGACTGCAGTCATGGGATTGTTGTCTATCACATGACGGTATATGTTTTGACTCCACAAAGTGGGAAGTGACGGAGACAGGATGTTTGTGTTACTGTGTTCCGTGAAGTGGGACTATTGTCCTTTGTTCTTTCTCTTTGCTGTCTGATGCTAGAGAGTGAGGGAGCCATGTTGCAGTGCTCCATGTGTTTTTATATGTTAATAAAGTAGATTAGCCAAAATGCTGAGTTGCTGAGGCCTGTTATGCATGATGTGCAAACTCTGCAGATCCCTAAGTGTGCCGGTGTCGGTTGGCATAGGTCACTGTGATGTTCGGGCAGAAGAAAGCTTTTGAAGCTCCCAAACGATCGACCAGGAGGGAGGGAACATGCCAGTCGGGCATGTGTCTCTGCCAGGGTCCTACTCGAGTGTAGGCTGAACTCCTAACAACCTTAAGGACCATCTGATCTCTTATATCCCAACTCAATCACTGAGATCTTTGGAGGAGTCTCTGTTGGTGGTCCCCCATGACTCAGCTGCATGGCTTGTAGCTACTAGAAGCCATGCATTCAGTGTAGTGGGCTGAAGCCTGTGGAACTCCCTCCCAATTTTGATTAGACAGACACTTTCCTTGTGGAACTTCAGGTGCATAACTAAGAATTTCTTGATCCAGTAGGCATTTTAAGGGAGTGTTTGATGTTATGATAATTTTTATTTGCCCCATGTTCTGTGGATGGTTTTTATGTATACTGCTTAGTAACCGAGCAGTATAGAAATGTCTCTAATAAGTAAATAAAGCAGGCTTTGGTAACCCAGTAAGGTGGAACAGCTCAGCTCCAGTGAAAGAGTGCAAGTAGCAGAACAGATAATTTATTTTAGGCATATTTATTGGCATGAAGAAAGCCACACGATCGATTCTACTGTTTACTACAAGGAAACAACTTCCACGTGGAGTGATTTAACATGTTGGTTATACTGCATAAACTGATTCTCAGAGATATGAAAAAGACTGTTTATAACCACTTAAAGGCAAAAGGAAACAAGTCAGGGTTGACAAATATCTTTTATCTTCCTCAGTGCTGGGTTGTTGTCATTTATATAATTTGTTTTATTTACTTCCATCATTTTTAGACCACCCGTGGGCCAAAGCCCCCTGGGCATTTTGCAAAAATCAATAAAAACACAAATACAATGCAATCTGTAAAATGATCTCTGCAGAAACACCACGGAAACATAGAACTGACATAAAACATGAAGAAAAGCCATGTAGAAACAGAATAGCATAATATCTAGAAGCCAACCTAAAATAAACCAAAGAGAAGGCAATTTATGCTGAAATCTAAACACACTAAAGCATACTGAAATTAAATGACCTGGGAAACAAAGAAGTCTCAACCTGGTGACAAAGGCATCATAATTTAGGCACCAGGTGAGCATCTCCGGGGGAGGGCATTTCACAGTCAGGGTGCCCCCACCGAGAAGGCCTATTTATATGCTACTTTGGGGTCCTAAATGCAGCTCACAAGACAATGAAAGCCAGTCTAAATACAATGAAACCAAGAGCAGAATAAAACAGTCGAAGCGTTGTCAATGGGGGAGACCAAACCAAACTGAAGGCTAGGAAAAAGGAGAAACCCTTATTAGCTCACCTAAAGCTTGCAAGGAAGGGAGCCAGCAGGTAGCCACGCCACCTAACAAGATGGGTGTTTGAGGTCTTCTGAGATCTCTTCCCCCTCCAGTTTAATCAGACACATCCAGGACTTTGGTTTGAAGCAAAAGGCCCCAACCAGACATCAGAAGCAGGATTGCTTCAGGCATGGCCAACCTGGCTGCTGGACAGAGCGAGGTGGCTGACTCAGATGACAGATGCTGAAAGGTGAGGAACAGGCTAAACTGTGGGTGCCATGCCGCATTCCTGTTGCCCCTAAGCTACCCTGCAGCTGTCCTTATATGCAGTGGGGGACACTGTCCTATCAATCATGTTGAAAAGGCTTCTCGTCAGGCCATCTGTTGGAATGGTAGCAGGAGGTCCCACCTTGTCCTTATTGCCAATGAATTGGGCTGGTCCGAGACAAGTCTTGAAGATGATTTGGCTCCCCAGACAGAAGAATTATTCACCCAGCTGAGCCTGAAATGGATGCTTCTGCAGGAAGCATCGTTGTTTCGTAGGAATTCCTGAGCACAGCATCCGCAGTCGGTCAGAGTGGAGGAGATTTTGCAGCACACTGGAGGCAGGCGAAGAGGATGGTAAAGCAGAAATAGCTGCACAGGTTTTCCTTATGAAAGAGCAGCTTACTTCCTTGATGGAGCAAGTCTATCAGACAGTAGGGATCGACCTACAGAAGCAATGGAGAGGAATGAAATGAAAGGAGGTGGAGTTCCAGAATAAAAATAATTGAGCTACAGAACAGCTTATGCAGGAACAACCCACATTTGGGGTGGAGGAGGATAGAGGATATGGAATAGGTAGAGGAGTCTGATCTTGGAAAGGTTTTAAAATAATGGCTACTGGAAAACTATAGCCATGCGAAAGCCAGAGGCTTCTATACGCACTCATGTGTCACATATCTCCATCTAGTCCACATATTCCAGCTAGTCCAAAGCACTCAAGGAAAGGCCTCCAAGGGCTCCCATCCATGCTTTACAGAGACTTTAAAATAAATGGCAATGTTTCACTCCATCGGCAAGTCTCTGGAAGGCTGATTTAACTTTCCCTGAAATTGCAAACTCTGATAAGCCTGGGCTCCTGCTTAATGCAGAGCTTTCTAATCACATTCAATCACACTTCCAGACCTTTGCACCAATCCTGCAAAGGTCTGCAGGGCAGCCGGTGCGCCCAAGATCATTGAGGGTGGGCTTGCATGCAGATCCCATCCCTGGTTTGACCCTTTGTGCTTTCAGTTGAATGCTTAGTTGTGTAACTAGCTTTATAAGATGAGGGTGCTCTCAGTGAGTGCTTCCAGAGAGAGGTTGACACTTCATCAAGCCATTACGTATTGCCTCAAAGACTGGAGAAGTTTCTCCACTTACACCTAGCTCTGTTTTCCTGCAGCTGCATACTGTATATTTGGTAGTCCACCAGAGCTGTTTGAGTTTTGTTTTCAATTTCATCAATCTGTCCATTGCCCACCCCCGGCTTGCATTTAGTGTACTTCTTTGCATGTATCTTTAATAAAACTCTGTAGTTGAATTAGTTACATCGGGGTGGGGGTTGACTAGATGTCCCTCAGGGTCCCTTCCAACTCTACAATTCCGTAACTTCTGGCTTTCAATTTTGAGGTGGGGCTTAAGAGGGTGAGAGAGAATTGGCACATTTAGGGATGGTCTAAATGGGCACATTTAGGGATGGATTTTCTTCAATCCACTTTTTTGTTTTAAGGAAGTTGAGCTAATTCACACCTCTCGGATGGATCTGAGAGGATAGGAAAATAATTACCCTTCAGATTTTGCAGTTCTCTTTATTTTGTGGTGTAGTTTTCCACTTTAAAATGTATAGAAAATACCAAAACAATAGAATCATGGAATTGTTGAGTCAGAAGGCATCTCAATAGTCATCTTGTTCAGTGCCCTGCAGTGCAGGAAGCAGAATGCATATGAATTGTGGATTTTTCAGCATGCCTTGAGATGACTTCCAATACCTATTTTGTGATAACCTACATATTTAAAAGGGATTTGGTGGCGCTGTGGTCTAAACCACTGAGCCTCTTGGTCTTGCCAATTAGAAGGTTGGCGGTTTGAATCCCCGCGATGGGATGAGCTCCCGTTGCTCGGTCCCAGCTCCTGCCAACCTAGCAGTTTGAAAGCACGTCAAAGTGCAAGTAGATAAACAGGTACTGCTCCGGCGGGAAGGTAAATGGCGTTTCCATGCACTGCTCTGGTTTCGGTGTTCCGTTGTGCCAGAAGCGGCTTAGTCATGCTGGCCACATGACCCGGAAAAACTGTCTGTGGACAAACGCCGGCTCCCTCAGCCTGTAAAGTGAGATGAGCACCGCAACCCCAGAGTCATCTGCGACTGGACTTAACTGCCAGGGATCATTTACCTTTTTACATATTTAAATGAGAAATTTCATAAGTTAATACAGAAGCGGAACAGAGTAGACTTATGAAGGAACACAAATGAAACTGATATGGAAAAGACTGGTCCATTCACCCCTAATGCTGCCCTACCATGCAGGAGATCTGAGAGAACATGTTAGTCATTGTGGACAGGAAGGGGCCATAGGCAGTGCTGGTTAAATGGCACATTCAGCTGAAGGAAGTGAAGATGGAGAAATAAATATTGGGGTACATGGGACTTAAGGGATACTGTGGCAAGGTGACAGAGGGTTTCATAAGGCAAAGGTGCTTATGATGGATCTAGGACTAGATTTGAAGCCAGTGTAGGGAATTAAGGGTCTGATTTAAAGCCAGCTGCTCAGTCGGTAGAGCACGAGTCTCTTAATCTCAGGGTTGTGGGTTTGAGCCCCACGTTGGGCAAAAGATTCCTGCATCGCAGGGGTAGATGACCCTTGTTGTCCCTTCCAACTCTACGGTGCTATGAGTGGCAAGAAAGGTGAGTGGCAACAGAGTTCTGAACAGAGGTGAGATAAAAAAAATCCTGGTGATACCGGTTATCATCAAAACAGGGAAGTGTTCTTCCAAAGGCTTTGGCTGCTGAAATGCAGTGCTTCTTTTGGATTCAGACAGGCAATGAAGACCACCCAAGCGGCTCTGTTTTATATACAGGATGTGGAAAATAAAGAACAAAGGAAGAGGAAACAGGTGGCCTCTTATGAAGCCACCTGTTGCTAGAGATTCCTTTCCCCTCTTGGGCAGGCAATGGGTCAAACTCTTCCTAGGCCATCTCTGAGAGCCAGAGTGGTGTAGTGGTTAACAACGGTAGACTCGTAATCTGGTGAACCAGGTTCGCTTCCCCACTCCTCCACATGCAGCTGCTGGGTGACCTTGGGCCAGTCACACTTCTCTGAAGTCTCTCAGCCCCACTCACCTCACAAAGTGTTTGTTGTGGGGGAGGAAGGGAAAAGGAGATTGTTAGCCGCTTTGAGACTCCTTAGGGTAGTGATAAAGCGGGATATCAAATCCAAACTCTTCTTCTTCTTCAGTGCAGACCTTGCTGTCAACACCATGTGCTGCCCCCAACTCCTGTAAGCTGACCCATGAGATGATGTCCTTTGTTTCTTGCATTGTTCTTTATTTCCCTCACTCTGTAAATAAAGCCTGCTAAAGAGCATCTTTGATGGCCCCCATTGCTTATCCGAACCTTAAAGAACCACTGCCTTAGGCAATTGGGACCTTTGGCGTAACAGGAAAGGCAATTAATTGCTCAGCTGGAGCAAGCCCTGTTACAATTGGATGTGCTGTTTGGCATATTTGTCTGTAATGCAGACTATAAAGAATTTATGCAGAGAGCTGTACATTGCACAAAGCCAGGGCATTCTCCCTTCAGAAATAATGCATATGTTTCACAGCACGTTGCCCCTAAAGGCAGATACATTATGATTAAGCATCAAATATTTATGTAGGAATGGGCTTGCTGCATTGGGATATTGTAACAATGGTGATAGAAATCCACATTTTGCTTTCGGGGGAGGCAGAGAAATTTACAAGTATTCAGAAAGATTTGCATGAACGGCCAGTCGGAAAGGATTTTGAGAAACAGCGGCTTGCAAGTAGCTTTTACAGCGCGTTGGTAATATTTTCCCCTTCAGAGAATACAATGAGCATTCCTTTAATTCAGTTTGCTCCCTCCTTCTGCTGCCCTCTACTGTCTGAACTGCAGCAGTCTTATGAATCTCTTTAATTCTGCATTCCTTGGTTTCATTTTATCATGCGCTATTCAGCACATTCCCATAGGTGCACTGCAAGTTACCCACCACCAAAACTGATGGAACTTATCAGCCACGGCTATGTTGCCATTGAAATAAAGGGGACTAGGAAGCAATGGCTTATATCCTAGAAAGAGCGTAAGTAGAACTCTGCCGGAATAGGCCAAAAGCCCATCTAGTGCAGCATCCTGTTCTCACAGTGGCCAATCAGATGCCCATGGGAAGCCTACAAGCGGATTCTGAGTCCCATGGCGCTTCCAGCACCTGCCATTCCCAGCAGCTAATATTCAGAAGCATTGTGCCCAGGGCTGGATTTAGGTTTGATGAGGCCCTGAGCTACTGAAGGCAATGGGGACCTTTATATGCCCAGCTGTCCTTTGTCAACAAATCGTCACTGTTTTTTGTGTTGAATATATGCTTTATGGTAATTTATGGACCTAATAGGTATCGAAAGCCGTTTGCACATGTAGAATGTAGGCACCCTATATATAGAAATGAGCAAACCAGTGATATTTTAGGGAGCAGGCTAGCTGGTGGGGCCATTGCTTACATCATAGGAGCCTACACAACACAAAACACTGTTGCTGTATGTAGGTTTTATTTTATTTGCTTTTTATCTTATATTTTGGAAATATACATCCAGGTTTTCCCCCTTTAATTTTTTGGGGGCCCCCCAAGAGTGTGGGGCCCTAAGCTATAACTTGTTTAGCTTATACGTAAATCCAGCACTGATTGTGCCTCTCCAGCTGTGGTGATGCAACACAGCCATCACGACTAGCAGCCATTGACAGCTATGTTCTGCCTTCAATATTCTGTTTCTTTCAGTGAGACCAAGGCTGAATTCTCACACTCTTGAAGGATCCCCGACTGAACTCAATAGGGCTTATTTCTGAGTGGGCCTGTCTATGATTGCACAGTTCCTTATGACTAATGTTAGCAGGACGGTAACCTTTAGTGTGAAGTGTGTCGGAATTGTAACACTTGTAACGATGAAGGTAGCTTTTTAAATCATTATATATGTCACCCCAGTAATAGCCCGTGTGGTAGGGTTATCGCTCCATTTTGCTGAAAGAAAATGAGTGTTAAGGGTGCTGAGAGTTGTTAGGTGACACATCTCTCCACTCACAGAGCTACACTTTCCAGAAACTTTAACAACCTCATTATTCCCAGGATTCTTTGGGAGAAGCCATGGCTGTTAGAGTTGTCTAATAGTGCTTTAAATATAGCCTAATGGTTGCCATCAATTTGAGTTGAATTAATTTTAATGAAATGATTTTAGAATGTTGTATTATTTTGCTGTTGTTGGCCGCCCTGAGCCCGGCTTTGGCTGGGGAGGGTGGGATATAAATAAATTTATTATTATTATTATTATTATTATTATTATTATTATTATGTACAAAAGTGGCCCAAGCTGCCCACACTAAGGGATCTGGCAGCTTTCTATCTATCAGGTTGAGCACAAGATTAGCTCTTTAATTTCCAAGTCAATGAGGATTCTGTCCTGGTTAAATCAATCTATATTTCCCTCTTCTGAATGACATCTCCAGATGTCTAGGAAGCAAGAAACCAGAGAACAATCTGAGGGTTTTGGGATCAATGGCATTGGTGATAGGAATATATTCTGCACTTCTTCATCAAGTGGTATTGTAGGAAAGTCAAATCTTTCATTAGCACTAAGGGGTTGAGCTTTCTTATATCTCCCTTGGCCTGCTGTTTAAATCTGTGACCTTTAAAATACGCTTTTAAACACTTCAGACACATACTCTATATAGAGAATCATTTTTTAATTCTATTTATGCAAACAAGCCTGAGTGCTTCATTAAAGGTGTGAGAGGTTTCTCTCTCTCACCCCCACCAATTTCAAAACAGTACCTTACAATAAAATCAGTTTCAGTAACCCATAAAGGAGCACGCCAAAGAGAGCACTCAAAACTTCAGCAGCAAGAACATCTCCATCTAATACGACAGGGAGCCATAAGCAAAAAGGCCCTCTCTCTTGTTGCCACCTTCTGAACTGAGGAGGGTCTCAGATGAAGATTGAAGGGTCTGGGCAGGTTCAGATTGGGAGAAACACTCCTAAAAATATTGGGGTCCTGAGCTGTAAAGGCCTTTATGAGTTTAAATCAGCCCAGAACCAGTGTCATTTTCAGCCTGCTGGCATCAGGTGGCCATTGTCTGCACTAGCTGCAGTTTCCAAACTGTCTTCAAGGGCAGTCCCAGGCAAAGTGCAGGGCAGGAATTTAATCTTGAGGTCACCAGAGCATAGATTACTATAGCCAGGTTAGGCCACCAGCTAAGGCAGTGGAAGGCATGCCATGGAGGCCACCTCAGACTACAAACCCACCTAGGACAGGTTGCACACAACTCAGCCAATCAGAAGAACCCACTAATAGCATAGAATCATAGAATCATAGAATTGCAGATGAACCGGAGTCCAGCCCCCTGCAATGCAGGGATCTCAGCTAAAGCATCCATGACAGGTGGCCATCCAACCTCTGCTAAAAAACCTCCAAGGAAGGAAAGTCCACAACCTCCTGAGCGAGTCTGTTCCACTGTGAAACAGTAATGTCAGAAACTTCTTCCTGATGTTTAGCTGGAATATCAGTCTTGTCTTGAACAAATTTCAGTTTATTGGCTCTCATCCAATCCATAATCGCAACTAGCCACCAGTTCCGTACATAAAGCATTTCTGTACAGCAGCCTCCCCCCAAATGGTGCTTTCCCAGTGTTGTTGGACTACAACACCTATCATCCATGGCCATTGGCCATGATAGCTGGGGCTGATGGGAGCTGTAGTCTGAGGACATCCAGAGGGCACCAAGTTATGGAAGGCTGATGCGCTGTCAAAAAGGGGTGTTATTTAGACCTTGTGTGTATTTTGCATGTGTGCATCTTTGTGTGTGTTGTAAAGAAAAGCCATTTGAGACTCTTGCTTTCCAACACAGTATGCAATTGTTTTCTTTCAGTCAGCCCAGCTGCTTGTCATTTTCAGCAGTCCTCTTGGCTTCCTAGCCATGACTGACCATGTCCATTGTTTACATGTGCAATGCAGCTCCTGTATCCCTTGTCCTCCCTCTCGCCTGTCCCTCCCTGTGCACTGCCATCAGTCTTAATTTGATGTCCCACAAATCCTGCCACCTCTGATCCTGTCTCCTTAGCCAAGAAGACGCCAGCTTCCTCAGATGAACGTGAAAATGCCAGCCTGCCAGCCTCTGAAGAGAATCCACAAGCCTTACTTCTTTCGGAATCTACGGAATCGCCCCAAAAGCAGATGGAAAGGAATTCAGCGCAGCTCCCCAGCCCTCCTCCATCACTTCCAGTTCCGCCACCTAAGACTGTCTCCAAAGTCTCGAAGATTGTACCAGGTGAGCCTCTTTCAGGACTTGTCTTTAGGGCTAAAATAGAAATAAAATAGGAAGTTGCCAGACCATTCTAGCTGTATAATGTCAACACTGGCTAGCACAGCTCTCCAGGGTTCCCTGGAGAATATTTTTTAGCACTACAGGGGATGAAGAACCTGAAAATGCAATGCATGTGCTCTAAAATTGAGATGCAACCCTTCCCTTAAAAGGCAGAACTCCAACATTAGGAGGGGTATGCATTATGACATCAGAACACAAGAGTAATTGTAGTAGCACTGCAGAGGTGTGGAAACGCCATGTTTGGTAGAAACTTCATATCTTCCCAGATCAGTAGTTCTGCTCCCAAATTGTCCTGCTATCTGATACATTGATATTCAGTGGAAAAGAATGGAGGCCAGAAGGTCTGGTGGTGATGGAGGAGAAAATTGCTCTTCCGATCCATGAGATGGAGGCTCAGCCTGTATAAAAATGATGGGATTCCACCCAGCTCCTTCTTATAATTTGTAGGAGTGGTGAAAGTTCACATGTCATGGGATTCAGTGTTTCTTTTCCAACATTTAATAGGTAAGAAGCAATAATTTGTAGTATCTGACTCTTGGCAATGGTTGACATTTCATGTCTGATGCCTGACAAGATCAAAACAATCAAGAGATACAGGAGGAAATCTTTTGCGTCGCCAGGTTTGAATTCACATGGGATATTCACTATGCAAAAGTGAATTTCAGTCCAAACTTAATCGTAAAGTCCCTGTTCACATCAAATATTTTTAAAATACATTAAAATTCTTGACAAAATCCAGAATTTTTTTTTTTTAAGTTTAACAAATATTAGTGAACTCGGGTGCTAGGTTTTATGACAACTGGATACCCAAAATAGAGCTAATGAGGAACAAGAGGGGGAGATCTTGTGGGAACCCCAACTTTTGCGGAAGTTAAATAAACAATCTTTGAGGTGGGGGGAAATGTACCTGAATCAGAGCTCATCAGTTCTATGATCATTTTTCTTGCACATAAATAATGGTGGAGATGGTACCCTGCAACTCTGTTAATGCTGGTTTTTACTGGTTTCCCTAAGGTTGATAGATGCTCAGCTGAAGCTGTTCACTCATTTGAATTTGAAGAACAGGAAGCATAAAGTAAAAGGGGGTTAATGAAGCCATTAGGGTTGGGTGATATATTGTCCAAAACCATCCAAGTCCATATCATGATACCGGTTTCATAATTTTTGACCAGGGAATATATTGTGAATCATGATGTGTGTGTGTGTGTGTGTGTGTGTGTGTGTGTGTGCGTGCTATGCACTGGCTCCCGGTGGAGTACAGGATCAGGTTTAAGGTGCTGGTTTTAACCTTCAAAGCCCTATACGGCTTAGGACCCTCATACCTACGGGACCGCCTCTCCTGGTATGCCCCACAGAGGAACTTACGGTCTTCAAATAAAAACATCTTGAAGGTCCCAGGCCACAGAGAGGTTAGGCTGGCCTCAACTAGAGCCAGGGCTTTTTCGGCTGCGGCTCCAACCTGGTGGAACGCTCTGTCGCAAGAGACAAGGGCCCTGCAGGACTTGACATCTTTTCACAGGGCCTGTAAGACAGAGCTGTTCCACCAGGCCTTTGGTCAGGGTGCAGCCTGACTCCCTCCTTTGGCAATCTTTACAAAACTTTAGTTTATGGTTGCCATCAATTTGTATTTTAATTAATTTCTATAATGTTTTTATAATGTTGCACTGTTTTAGTGTTGTTAGCTGCCCTGAGCCCGGCTTCGGCTGGGGAGGGCGGGATATAAATAAAATTTATTATTATTATTATTATTATTATTATTATTATTATTATTATGTGGGAAAAACCGTGAAGCCAGCCAATGTCTCTGCATGTTGTTGTTTAATCGTTTAGTCGTGTCCAACTCTTCGTGATCCCATGGACCAGAGCACGCCAGGCACTCCTGTCTTCCACAGTTTGGTCAAACTCATGCTGGTAGCTTCGAGAACACTGTCCAGCCATCTCATCCTCTGTTGTCCCCTTTTCCTTGTGCCCTCCATCTTTCCCAACATCAGGGTCTTTTCCAGGGAGTCTTCTCTTCTCATGAGGTGGCCAAAGTATTGGAGCCTCAGCTTCAGGATCTGTCCTTCCAGTGAGCACTCAGGGCCGATTTCCTTCAGAATGGAGAGGTTTGATCTTCTTGCAGTCCATGGGACTCTCAAGAGTCTCCTCCAGCACCATAATTCATAATTCTCTACATAGCTCTATTCTAATTTCAGACATTGTGATATATTGCGATGATGAAAACCAGATATCGTCCAGCCCTACAAGCCATAGGAGATGCCACGTCCTTGAAGGCAAGTGTGGCTAACCTGTGGCTCTCCAAATGGTTGGACTACAGGTCCCATCATTCCTGACTATTGGCTATACATGTAAAGTGGAGTCCAACAGCACCTGGTTTAGCCACTCCTGCCTTAACCTACAAGGAAGGGACCCAGGAAAAACAAAGCACCTTGAAGGATGGGATAGCTTTTCTGATGGTCCCAATTGCCACGTGCCAGCACCGTAACAAGGGCACACAGTTCACTCAAGCTCCACCTTTAGCCATTTTAAGATACTTGAAAAGTAAAATCCACATTAGGGGATGGTTCTTATTTCTTTCCCATCCACAGCACACCTTCCAGTTTGGGAGCCTCTGGATTTAAATCCATGCTTGTGCCACTGGGTGGCGTAAAGTCATCAGCAGTGGCTGAAGTCAAGTCTATTGCAGCAATTATTTCAGTGGTTCTTTTGTAAACTGTGTGTGGGTTTGTTTTTGTTTTTAACGGAAATGCGCTTTATTGGGAAATCACCAACCAAGGTCCGTGGGTGAAATTTCAGTGCATAATCCATGCAGCTTCAAAGGCTGGTTTCCCACCCCACCCCAAGTTCAGACCTTGGCAGTTAGAAAAGTGTTCTTCAAGGACCAGTTATGGCAGTTGAGCTTCCCTGAAGCACAGCTGGCTGACTTGTAATGGCTTCAGCACATAAAGATAAACCACAGAAAGAGTACCTTGTTGTTGTTGGCATCTTGAGAGACAATGGAGTGTGCCTCCAGGTGTCAAGTCAAACCACTGTGTTAGCAGCACCAAAGTGACCTCCCCAGGCACAAACCTGGGCAGTGTGTATAGAGGTCCTGGGCTGCCCAGACAACAAGACCCCCAACTCTTGGCCTTGTTGATGTGGTCCTCAGGAGAGCAGAGCAATATGTATGACACCTGCTTGGCTGCAGGAGTTTCCAGAAGGAGGTGTACAAGGTGCAATCCAACCATTCCTGATTTGTGTAGGGTTTGCTCCTTAGCCTTTTCTTGTCCTGGTGATATCCCACAAGATATTGAACGCCAAGAACTAACAGTAGCAGCAGAGAAAACATGTCCCCCCTCAGGCAGGTTGGAAGGAGAAAGAACTTGCCCATGTGAAGACCACCTGGTGGAAACACTTACACATATGGTTCTCAATTGTAAACTATATGCTGATCTCCGTCAGCAATTTCTAGATCAACTCTGTATCCCTAAGTGGAAACCAGAGTTGGAGGTCATACATTTTCTATTACTGGGGAATGATCACCAAGTTAGTGGCTAAATATCACTATTTGGTTTTTTTGTCGTCGAAATACACTGCAGACGTCTGATCTCTCTGGAGACCTAGAGATGTGACCATAGACTGCTCTGCCTCCTCTCCTTTAGCAAATGTTTTGTGCCACTGGGGAAGTGGTAATTCTGTATTGATTTGTTTTGTATGTTTGTATGTGATGCCAATAAAAGCTTTAATGATGATGATGCTATCCCACAAGTGGAGGTTTAGGATCAGAGCTTTCCTTCCCAGGTTGATGAGCCCCACCAGCCCTGAAAGAGTACTGCTAAAAGGCTTAATCTGCAGTCCACCAGCAGTTTGCACAGCTGATCCTGCTTTCTCTGGTACCATAGGTCAGCCTTCCCCATAAAGGGCGCCCTCTAGATATTCTCAGATGACAAGCTCCATGCAATCCCAGCATGCATGGCCAAGGGTGATGGGAACTGCAGTTGAAGGCACAACCACATTGAGGAAGGCTGCTCAGTGTGGCTCCAGCGGGGCCTCCTCCATGGCATGCAGCCATTAATGCCCTTTTGTGGTTTTATTTCCCGCAGCAGGAAGTGAAGTAGATGAGCCAGCCTTGAAATCCCCTCCATCCACTGTCTTGAAGAATTATGTAATTGTTGGTTCCTCCCAACTCTCAGGACAAGCTGCTCCCTTCCAGCCCTCAGGCCAGAAAATCTCCGAGCCCCACCTCAGAGGGCAGCACACGCCAAATGGCTCCCCTCACCTTGGTGCCGTCCACCTGCCTTTACCTCCCAGCCGAGTCATCGAGGAACTTCACAGAGCTTTGGCCACCAAACACCGGCAGAATAGGTAAGAGGCTGGAAGGTTACAGGACACGGCAGGGGCATCCATTTCCACTTCTCAACTTTCCAAGGGCTAGTCCTGCTCAGAGTTGACCCACTGACATTCATGGACATGGCCACCTTCGCTTCATTTATTCCAGTGAGTCTACTCCAAGTAGCTTCGCTGGCTGTGGGGAAAGTGTGGATTTTGAAGGCTAGCTGCATTTTAATACGTGTATTATTATTATTAATTATTTCTATACCGCCCTGCATCCCCAGGTCTCAGGGTGGTTCACAAGATAAAACCACATTACCTGGGTTATGAAGGTGCCCTAAAGACGTTAAAGCAAAGATTATGGGATAATGCACACAGTGACTTGCAATCTCGATCACATGCAGTCTGTAGTCTGTTGGCAGTAGGAGTACAATATGGGCATGTCTTTAAGTTAACATCTTACATTAAAAACCTGACAGTACCAAATTATCGAAGGCTTTTCACCAAAGCCAGCCTAAACGTCTTTCCTTCTGCAGTGTTGGATGGCAGGTTGAGAGGAGTTCCCTACCAGGACAGACTTTGCTCGTGTGCTCAAGACATCGAGTCCATAAAACATATTTTGTTGCACTGTGCAAAATATGAGCAAGCCAGGGCTGAACTGATATTACCCTTGCTGGTACCTTTCCCAGGAAAATCAGAGGCTCACTATGTCAGGTTCCTATTGGAAGACCGGACAAACGCTAGAACATTAGCAGTGGCAAAGTTTTTATCGGTGGTTGCAAGAACCAATGATCCCTATATTCTGAACAAAATGTTTGTTTAACCTGGAGGTAGGCTGTATGAATTGTGTATTGCTTTGTAACGATTTGTTGGGTCTCTGGACCGTAATAAAGATTGATGATGATGAAGATAAAACCACAAGATAAAAACATAAAATATATAATAAAAACAAGAACATTTTAAAAGGGTATTGGATGTCAATCATCCAAAGGCCTGGTTAAAGAAGAAGGTTTTTGCCGGACGCCTAAAGGTGTATAATGAAGGCAGCAGGTGAGCCTCTCCAGGGAGAGCATTCCACAAATAGGGAGCCACTGCAGAAAAGGTCCCTTCTTGTGTTGCTACCCTCCAGACCTCTCATGGAGGGGCCACACAAAGAAGGGCCTCAGAAGATGATCTCAAGCTCCAGGTACGTTCATATGGAGAGATGTAGTCCTTGAGGTTCTGCAGTCCTGAGCTGCTTAAGGCTTTATAGGTCAAAACTTTGCATTGAGCCTGGAAATTAATTGGCAGCCGGTGCAGTCAGGCCAGGATCAGTATAATATGCTCAAACCATCTTGCCTTGGTGATCAACCTGGCTGCTGACTTCTGCAAGAACTGAAGTTTCTGAACAGTCTGTTCAGAGGCAGCCCTGACTTTTTGGAAGTACAAACTGGGTAGGTTCATGTTAAAAAGTGAACCAAAGTGCTCTTCCAGCCTCACGGTGAATCCACCCTGGACCTCACTATGGACCTTTCCCATTTGCAGAGAACTTATTTGTATTACTGGGTTCTAATAGCCTCAGGACCATAACAAAGGCTGATCTAAATGCTTACCAAATGGCAGTCCAATTCTTATGAGGGAAGAGAAGGCACACATCACCATGCATTTGATGCCATGCGCCATGTGGGATTCTCTGTGAGGTGAGCCAGTGTGGTGTAGTGGTTAAGAGCGGTAGATTCGTAATCTGGGGAACCGGGTTCGCATCTCCGCTCCTCCACATGCAGCTGCTGGGTGACCTTGGGCCAGTCTCACTTCTCTGAAGTCTCTCAGCCCCACTCACCTCACAGAGTGTTTGTTGTGGGGAGGAAGGGAAAGGAAAATGTTAGCCGCTTTGAGACTCCTTCAGGTAGTGATAAAGCAGGATATCAAATCCAAACTCTTCTTCTTCTTCTTCTGTATGGAGGCCTGTATATGCAGAGACCTGAATGGTGCACTACTGCCCCAAGTAAACTAGAGGAGGACTGGGTGCAAATTGGTCTATTATGCTTGAAAAGATTGATGTATTTTTGTCCATGCCAAAGAGTATTTTAGATGTATGGTGGAAGGGATGGGCAGGAATGGAACCCATTCCTGGTAAATATCCAGAAAGGCCACAACTTATTCAGGGTTAATAATGATGTGCTTCCCTTGCATACTTTTTAAATTTTCCATAAAGCACCCAATTGCCCAAGTGGAGGTGTTTCTTTTGAACTCTAGTCTTCCACTAAAAACACACACACACACTGCCTTCTTTGGAAAGGTCAACCCGGCACCCCACATTAACATATTTCAAAACAAGGTGTCAGTCACTGCCCTCTTGTGCCTTCCCCTTGTGACAGATATTGAGTTCTTGGCTTCCCTGTCATAGACATGGTAATCCCACCGCAGCTCCTTCACAAACCTCTGCAGAGCAAAGCGCTTGAGGCAACAAGCTTGAGACATTGATTCCCTTCCTGTGGTGCTAAGTCTGGTGGTGGTGGGGGGGGGACAACAACCCCAAAACAAATCTGTGTTATCTGCATTTCAACCCCCAGCTTTCAGGGAAGAGAAAACAAAGGTTCTCCCAAGAAGCGAATGGACATCCGCCCATCCAGAACGTGCAGCGTTGATCACAGCAAAGAGAAGGAAAGTTCGGTGAGCTACAACAGCGACCCGGAGAACAAGCGGAATTCCATCAAGGAGTCAGATGAGAACAAAGAGAACCTGATCATGAACTCTGAAATCAAGGATGACTCTGTTTTCTATCAGGATGAAGAGGTTTTGAATGACTCCATCATTTCTGGTAAGCAAAGTCACTTTGTGAGCCTTTACGAGAAATTCTGAAGGACAGGTCCACTTGTTTTGTTCCTTTTTTACATGTGCATTACGTTGTTGCTCAAGGTCGTGAGGGAAATATTGGCCTCCTTTTCAAATCTGCCATTCCTTCTCTTTGCCTACCCATCTCCAGCCGTTAGCTTCTGTCCCATTCTGTTAGAGTCTTTGCAACTCCATGCTGTTCTTCTGCATCTCACCCTTCATTTCAGAGTTTGATGCCTGGCTCACCTTCACCCTTCTGGGGCAATATTTCCCAGTTTGCTCCTTAGGTTCCTTGAAAGCCGCCTTCTGCTAAATCAGACTGCAGCTCTCTGTGGCTTCAGGCAGAGGACATTCCCGGCCCTACCTGGAGATGCCAGATTGAACCCGTGCCATTCTTTGTACAGCACAGGTGCTCTCCTTTTGATGCTCTTCCTTGGTGATTCCAGTGCCCAAGCTGATCATTCCTGCAGCAGAATGGTCAGCAGCACCTCACTTAGCTACTGCCGCTTTTGCCCAGCAGCAGATCCAAGAAGGGCATTTCATTGACCATCTCCCCCTGACAACTCTCTCTCTCTCTCTCTCCACCTGTGTTTTGCTGCCACTGCTCCGACTCTTCTTGTAACTTGCACCGCTGAGTAATGCAGCCTCACATTCATCGTGACTTCTGCTAAGGTCCTTTGTTAAAGAACAAATGTGGGAGGTTAAGATGATACTTTAACTAGCTTGTGGGGGTTATTTTTTAAAACAAAACAAAACAACAACAACACATAAGGAAAAACACACACACAAACCACCCAAACGCAAAACACCACCAAACTTTGTATCAGCAAAGTGAGATTTAGAATTGAAACTAAAGCTAGGCTGAACTTTTAGCTCACCTTCCTTTGACCATTTGCAGGGAGGCAGGGGTCAGAAATTGACCACCCAAAATTGATGGGGGAGGGGCAATTTCCCCTAAGGTTTTTCAGGTGGGGTTGGTTTATTTAAGTTTCAAGTGATGAGGTAGCTGAGGTGAAGTTGTTCTTTGCTCTCTAATTTTATAAAAACAACAGTGCATGTGGTCCCCATTTGGCTTTCTCTCTCCAGCTCCAGAACCAGAGGAAGTTGTGTGGTTTTGTGCAGATACAGGGATGCATGGAATACAGACCTGACAAATTTTATCTGGTCCGAGACTGAAACGCATTTGGAAGGTTGCAGAGAACAAATGAGAGCAGAATTCGGACCCACCATCAGTTAAAGTGGCAGGTTTAAAATGCATTTACAGTGCAGTCCTAAACAGGTTTCTGCAGAAATATGTTTCTTTAGATTCAATGATAATCTAGGATTTAGGATTTTATATATACAAAGTCAGACCACTAATCCATCCAGCTCAGGGCTGGGTACAGACTGGCAGCCCTCCTTACCTGGAGATGGCAAGAGATTGAAGCTAGGGCCCCTCTCTGCACAACCCAGATGCTCTGCTAGTGAGCCACAGCCCTTCTTCTTGAGCCTAGGAGCCTGAGTAAAATTGTTCACCCGCCCCAAACTACCCAATTCACAAAGCCCTCCAGAGAAGGAGAGCCATATCTCCATCCTTTCCCCTCTTTCCCTCCCCAACCGAGCATCACTGAGAGTATTAAAAACACCTCCCACCCCCCAACAAGTTGACACTCTCGACTATTGCAGATTTTACACTAATCTGGACTGGCCGGCTAAACCAGGTGAAGGTGGCCGATGGGTTTCAAACCCTTGATGGGTTATGGACTTCCTCTGCTTGGAAAGACAGGCTCTGATGAATTGAGGAGACCCAACGGTGGATCCAACGGTCAAGAAGGCAGTTTCTGCATATGCTGTTGAGGGAAGTGGGGGTGGGTGGGTGATGAGGCTTGTCCACCTGGGAAGGTAGTCCATCTAGGAGAAGGGAAACTCTGATCTTAACCCCTTGCTGCCTTGTGGCAATACTCATTCGTGAGAAAGGCTTCAGAAGTAAATCCCGAGGGAAAATTCATACCCATTGCCTTGTGAGACATCTTTGGGAATAGAAAAGGCTAAGGAGTCAACCCAACACAAATCCAGAGGGGAGTCCCTAAGACGGTTGAATGGATCTTGCATGCCTCCTTCTGGCAACTCCAGCAGCCAAGCTGGTGCAGTACATATTGCTCTGCTTTCCTTTGGACTATATCAGTGAGGCGGAGAGGAGGGTCGGGTCTTGTCAGCTGGGCAGCCCAGGACCTCTGTACACTCTGCCCAGGCTTGCATCCTGGAGAGGTCACTTTGGTGCTGCTAACACAACAAAAGCAACACAAGAGGCAGCAGTTATATCTCTGCAAACACAGCAGGCACTGTGATTCTCCAGCAGTTTGACTTTACCCCAGGAGGCGCACTCCATTGTCTTTTGAGAAAGATGGCTGCCAAACACCACTAACCATTGCTGGAGCTTTTACTGTAACCATTCCAGCTGCTATCACTTTTCCTTTAATGTAAACACCTATCATTATCTAAGCCCTGACCTTCCATCTTCCATCCTCCCAGTCTCTATTATAACCCTCTTCAACTGTCAGCTGTCACTTCTTGACTGAGAACTCCATTTTCCCCTTGCGGTATTCTACAATGACTTTTCACCACTGATTGCAGGACTGTTACTTCTGGTAATCACTCCGGAACAAGATGTTAAGCTCTAGGACTTAACCCCAGAAGATTCTCTTTCCCTGCCTCCCTCTCTCCCATTCCACCCACCGTGTCTCCAAATGCCTCTCTGATATTTCAGAAGAACCCAGGCTCCAGGTCTTGATCTGAGCGCCTCTATAGGCATCCCAAGCTAGGTCCTGACATATCTTAAGAAGACACATGCTAATCGGCGAACAATTCTGAACTGTGAACAAATCTGCTTACTGTTTGTAGGTATTCTGTGAACCCCTGCAAAATTGTGGTATGTGGAAGAGGGTGTTGTGTAGATCAGAAGAGTTTTAATTAAACGGTAAATGTGAATAATCTACTAGACTTCCTTCTCATAGAACACTTGGCAGGCCTCATGGTGATTATCACAGCTAAGAGGCCTAGGGGTTCATTAATTAAACCAAAGGGGCGAGAAAGAAGATTACGATATCCCCACAGGGCCCTAGACAGATCACAGCCTTCCCTGCGCATGTTTGTTCTCTGTGCAAGATGCATTTTTCATTCTGGACACTGGGTGGTGCAGCATTCATTGGACATTGTTTAGAAAAAAATCTTTAACTGACATTTCAACAGGTGGGACAATGATGCTGGAGCATAGCTGTCAATGTACAGATTTGAAAATAAGGGACCAGCAGCCTCGAAAATAAGGGAAAATAAGGGATCACGTCACGGCTACCGTTGTCTTGGCACGAGGAGTTCCATCGGCCCTTCCCTGCCCGAGAGAGAGGGAGGGAGGGAGATTCTCGCCCGCGAGCCCAGCATGAGGTGGTTGCGGCGCCACGGCGGCCGCTGAAGCGCCGCCCTTCTGCGTCCCTCCCCATCCCCTCCTCTTCCTCCTCCCTCAGGCAGCCTCCTCAGTCGCCGCCGCTGCCTCCGGCTTTCCCTGGCAGCGCGGCAGAAGTCTCGCAAGAGAGGGGCTGCCTGCCTGCCCGCCGCCACCTGTCTCCTCACTACGTGCCCCTGAGGGGGGAAAGGGAGAGACGGAGACACAGCAGCTCAGGCGCACATTCTCTCTCGCGGTGGAGGACCCCAAGCCGCTGCTTCCCTCCTGAGCCGGGCGAGCATGAAACCCGGTAAACTTAAGGGACATCATCAATCTGGGACAGCAACGGGACACGGCACTGGGATAAGGGAGTTTCCTGCCAAATAAGGGACGGTTGACAGCTATGTGCTGGAGCCTTCATGTGGTGTGCCGCCCAGATCTTCCTTGGGAGGAATCTCTTAGCATGTTTGTTTCTTGAATTTAAATTCCTCCCTTCCTCTCCAGGGAGCCCAGGGAGGTGAACAGAGATGCAATTTGAAAACAAAGCAAAAGCATTCAGCTGCTTCTCTGTTTTATTTTTCAAAAAAGAATGGAGGGCTGCATACAGTGTTTGAGTAAACGTATTCATAGAATTGTGGAGTTGCAAGGGACCAGCCCCTGCGATGCAGGAATCCTGCCCATAGCTGTCCCTAGGTGGGCTCGAACCAACAACCTTCTGGTTAACAACACTGACCTATTGCACCATTAGTATTATTATTTAAACAGACACACAATTCAATACATGTAAAAGTTTTGTAGGTTTGGAAATAAACTATAGTAGCCACAATTTCCTCTTTAGTATCCACAGTTCAGTTAACTATAGTTAAACCTGATCATCCAAACCCAGCCCTGTGACTTAACTATGGTTTATAAACCATGGTTAGAACATGCTAGTTAACCAAGGTGTGTTGTGGGTTTATAAACCTTGGTTAGCTTTAACCATAGCTTACAATTATATGTGAACATGGACTTCCTCCTTAGCTATAGTTACAGACTATTACTACCCAAATGTTACAGAGCCAGAATTCAATAGTGTGGCAGTGAGAGAAATTATGCTGTAATGTAGCAATCCAAAGTTTGAGCGATTGTCTGCAAGATGCCTCAGCATCAACCATTAACTATGGCTTAGCATTATGTGTGAACAGGGCTTGCTGTATGTGTTGCTGCAACAGTGCATATGCCCCTTTGCACTGACTTTTTTCAGATACAGGCAGCATTAACATTTGAGAAATGGAACCACATGGGTGGGTCAGTCACATGAGGTGCTTCCCACTCAGGAAGAAGAGAGAGGAGATCTCAATGGTGTACTGAAAATGCTTTATTTGACCCAACAAATTTCACATTTTGCGACTCCTCTCCAGTTATATCTTATTAAGTTTAAACATTTTTGAAATATACAACCATAGCACAATCTTGTCTTTTATCTTATTTTTGTCAACTTCCCACCCCTTTTCCCATCAAGTTGTTTCTCTCTCTCTCTCTCTCTTTCTCTCTCTCTCTGTTGCACCCAATCTTCTATCTATTTCTACCCATCAAATCATAACCACAATATTATAATTGCATCTTTCGACTCCTCTCCAGGACCGACTGTTGGAGTAAAGTTAAATACAATGCATGTGACAAAGCATTGATAAGATTTTTGTTCACATGAGCTCATTTTATTTGCTAAATGGCTTATACAAAGCTTTACTGAAGAGTAGACACAAGAAATGCAGAAATGGATTGGGCCAAGTAAAAAGTTATCACCACACATGGTTGCACTGGTTTCCTCTCTGCTGTTCCTCGCTTGGTCCTTCCTGTTCAGTCACTGCCCTCCTTCGAAGGGAAGGCCCCACATTCTGCTCGCAGGCGATCCCTGCCGATTTTGCACTTCTGATTCATGAGAAAAACCTGATCCAATAAGTGATGTCCCTTTGCCTATTTTAGCAACAGCCTGTCTGACACGTTCTCGTTCTTTTTCTATGTATGCTCCAGGTACTTTGCCAAGAAAATGCAAGAAAGAGTTGCTGGCAGTGAAGTTGCGGAACAGGCCAAGCAAACAGGAGCTGGAAGATAGGAACATTTTCCCCAGGAGGACCGACGAAGAGAGACAGGAGATCCGGCAGCAAATTGAAATGAAACTTTCCAAGTAAGTTCTGTAGAGCGTAAAGCCCTGTTCAGGCTTCCATGCTTCCATGTTTACCAGTACGGGAGTAAGGAAAATAGGGGTGTACCTAGAAGCTCCAACCACCTCCTACTCTTCATGTAAAGAGCAGGACCATTTGTAACAATGGGACTTTCCTGTGTACAGATGCACACACAAAGGATGCACACACTCAACTCAAATCCTGCACAATTTGGGTTCCAGGTTGTGAGGAAAGGCAGCAGCTCTGTGGTCAAGCATGTGTCTTGCACACAGAAGGTTGCAGGTTCAATCTCCAGGTAAGGCTTGGAGAGACCCATGGATTGAACCCTTGAGAGTGACTGCCAATCAGTGTGGACAACACCAAGCTGGACAGACCATTGGGTCTGACTCAGTATAAGGAAGCCTTCCTGTGCACAGCTGTACATGTAAAGGATCAAGTGGTCATGTTATTCCCTACTCCCATTGTGACAAAGACGGGAGCATTAATGCCTGAACTTCCAACTGTTTACCTTACCTTGGTGTATTACACAAGCCTTTTGTCTGATTCCTGTTGTACACCAAACATTATTGGCAGTCATAAACCTGGTCTTGGGGCCACCATTTCCCTTGAGTTCAAATGTCAGGGCTGCAGGTTTGTGGGTGGGACCAGACCCCCAAAACTCACAGATGAAACGGAATGGTCTCCCAGCTTCCCTACTCTCATTGCTTCTTATTCCAGAATTCAAGCAGAATCGGAGGGGTTGAGGGCAGTTGAACTACCTGATTTTGAGATTGAACTTTGTGAGTTCCAAATCTTTAAAGCGTGTTAAGAATTTGGGATTTGGAAATCAAAACCTTATTTCTTGAGGGGGCTCGGAACTGCTGTCGGGCCTAGCCTTTGGGACAGGAAGGTTGAAACTTGGTTGTGTGAAGAATGCCAAGGCCCAAGAAGTGTAGATTGGTGATTCATGCACAGTCAAAGCTGAAGCAAGGAACAGATTTCAAGCCAACTCCAGAATTACTTCACAATGGGTCATTCAATGGGCAACATCCAGCTATGGAACTCACCAACCAGAACCAAATTTTGTAGGTGTCTGGGTTAGAGGTTGGAGCAGGTTATAGGTAACTGCAAGAACCCAGTTTAAATGCTACTATAGTGTTTGATGTTAGCTTTGGTGTCTTTATCCTGCAACTGAAATATTTTGAAACGGTATAGTGGCATAAACTCTCATGCTTCTTAGTGCACTCTCTACCACTTTAGAGCTGGGTCTGAGTTGTTGGATAGCTGCTGTCTTGGGCCACATCCTGATGCTGGATCCACTAAGCCCTACCACAAGGTCCCAGGTAGAATATTTGGGTGCTCAGATACTTTCCTCCCCAGACTCTACTGTTGTTGACATGGGGTGTGAGGTGAGGGAGACCTGGGATGGTGCTAGCCTCCTTCATTGGTCATCAGAGTCACTCTCGGAGGTGCCTGTGGTTTGGTCCACAATGGTTTGTGTTTGACAGCTTTCAAATATCAAGAGGAAGGTGGGACAGCTATGGACCTTATAAATGCATGAATGGAGGACATATTGTATCATACGTACCTGATAAAAAGGTAAAGTCCATGCATGGGATCATTTGGAACGAATGTGAAAACAAACCTGCCAACAGCATGTCTTTGTGCAATATCATGTCTTTATACATACCTAAGAAGCCATATGGAGCAGAAGAGGGAGGGAGGGAAGCTGCTCTATAAAATCAGAAGAGGTAGAAACTTAAGGGACAGATGCAAAGCTTGTTAGAAGAGATTGGGCTTCTATGGCAGTATGAAGGCAGCCTTCTACCTTTTGCAGTTTGGTAACTTTTGGAGCACTCAGTCTTTTTCTAAACCCACCGTCTCCCTGCATACATCACTGGCTCCCTGTAGCTGCAACAACTCAATCATTTCCTCTCCTCCTCAGCTCTGTTTGGGTATCATTCATGCCTGCACACTGTGAGTCACCTTGCCTTGGAGCAGGGTTACTGCTGAACCAAATCTAAGTTGAGAGGTAGCCAACATGCTGCCCTCTGGATATTGTTAGACTCCAGCTCCCATCTGACCCAGCCAGATCAGGTTAGATAGGCTAGGCTAGGCTAGGCATAGCTAAGCACGGCACTGCTTCACTCAACTGGAGTCTAGAGTAGCTTAAAGGGACAACAAATCACAATAAACAATAAAAATCAATTAAAATGAAACAAATATGCTAAAGGTGTTCCACTGTGGCCAATGGCTAAGGCCAATTGTTGTCTAACGTCATCTAGAGGGCAACACGTTGACTACCCCTTATTTAAGGTTTAATCTGAAGCTGCATGAGACCACTGCCTTGGTGAAGCTAAGCAAGTCTGGGTTGAACCAGTGCCCAGGTGAGTGACTACCTGGAAGCCACATGTACAGAACCTTGGGTTCCACAATGGAAGAAAGGCAGGATAAGAATAAATATTTAGAGGCTATTCAGAGAATATCAGCAGCAAAGATTTGAAAAGGAGCATTTGAGGAGAAGTTCAGGGACCAAATGTACTTCAGCTGCAAACCATCTTCTCCCTATAGCTTCTTAAAAAGGAAGGTTGCAGGATGTGGCATTGGGAAGACTCTACTCATCTCCTTGTATGCACAGGTGGGGTATCTCACCTGCTATTTCCCCATGTGCTTCAGAGACAAGGTGGCAGGGGAAGAACTTGCATAGCATGAAGAAACTGATCATTTGTTCTGCAGCTATGAAATGTTCTCAATGGATCTAAATTAGGGTTTTCCACACATGAATGTACTTCACTTGGCGTTATCACGCCTGTTGATAAGCACTTGGTTATGTGAACCCGCCTTCCCCGAAAACAGGTCTCTCTGAGATTAGGTCAGGTGTCATAAAACTCCATCTGTCCGATATGCAGCTGCTTCACACATGCAAAGCATCGCTTGGGTTTCAAGCATGTGTGTTTGGCATCACCCTGATAATTGTGTGGGTGTGCCCAAGAAGTACTCACTCTCCAGAAAACTGATCCCACACAGAAAGTGCAGGAAAGAGGTTCACCTGAAGATGATGGCTGAGCTTGTTCTCCACCTATTTCAAGCTGTTTAGGTGTTGGTTGCTATTTGTGAATTTAGGCCACATTTCTACTACGGTAAATGTGGACACTTTGGAGAAAGAAAAATGTGGGTCAGAACTAGGGATGGGGACATGTACAAAAATGCATGCACTTGGGTAAAAAGGTGCATAAAAATGAGTATATTGGTGGAAATAGTGTGCAAAAAAATGCGTTGTATTAGGAGAAATTGCTTTGCAAAAAAATGAGCATTTTTGGCAAAATTGCAAACAAATTTATGAGGAGAAGTTTGCACTAAAATGCTGCTGAATTCTCCTGAAGACTTTTTAAAAAATCATAGTCTCATGTGGAAATAAGGAGAACTGAATTAAGGGCTGGGGAATAAGAAACTGGGGGAAACCAAAATGGACAGATTCACCCACCCTTGGTTGGAACTAAGAGATTTTGTGTTGGCCATTCCCTAAAGCAAATGTGTTGAAGAATGGAGGGAGCAAAATCTCATCAGAATGGCATGGAAGAGGTACAACTGTGGCACTTGGCTTGGATGCCTTGAATACAGACTCAAGTGACTCTAGGCGCTCTTGAAATATGGACTCAGAACTATGATTGCACTTGTTCTCTGTGGCCAGTGACTTGGTTTCAGTCTTCCAGCTGGCAGAAGGTTTATATAAAATTATGAATCGTTTGCACAGCATGAATAAGCTGTATGTTCCCATTCTAATGGTTGCTAACCCAGTCCCAACAAAGCAATGCGTTGATTCTAAACTTGTATTTAAGCCATCTGTAATGCCGTCTGCTGTGTCGATCTAATTTTAACACACTTCTAATTTCTTCAGTGTGCAATTTCCCCCCCAATAAAAATAAAAATAAGCAGGAGCTTTGCCTAATATGGACTTAAGGGGAATTAGTGATGGGTGAGCCCTCCCCACAACTCAGTTTGAAATAGGCCTACTTCAGAAGAGTTAATCTAGGCTTCACTCCAATAAGCTCATTTCAACTCTGCTCCCATTTGAGCTACTGTCCCATTGAACTTAAGAATATTAGAAGAGCGTTGCTTGGTCAGGCAATGGTCCATCTCATCCACCATCCTGTTCTCATTAGGGCCAGCCAGATGCCTGTGGAAAGACCTCAAGATTCAGAGGCCTACTGCTTCTGACAGTGCAGGTCATTGCATTCCAGTAATGTCATGGGGAACAAGACCCTCAAAGCCCTACTACGGTCTCCATTTCTTGAACTAGTTGAAGGGGGCAGCTGTGGAAAGGTCATAGAATCATAGAATTGTAGAGTTGGAAGGGACCCAAGGATAATCTAATCCAGCCAGTATGGTATAGTGGTTAAGAGCAGTGGACTCGTAATCTGGTGAACCGGGTTCGCGTCCCTGCTCCTCCACCTGCAGCTGCTGGGTGACCTTGGACTAGTCACACTTCTCTGAAGTCTCTCAGCCCCACTCACCTCACAAAGTGTTTGTTGTGGGGGAGGAAGGGAAAGGAGAATGTTAGCCGCTTTGAGACTCCTTCAAGTAGTGATAAAGCGGGATATCAAATCCAAACTCCTCCTCCTCCTCCTCCTCCTCCTCCTCCTCTTCTTCTTCTTCTTCTTCTTCTTCTTCTTCTTCTTCTTCTTCTTCTTCTTCTTCTTTGTTGCAAAGGCCTCAGCCTTGATGCCTGCCTCCCATACCCTCCAACATTCCTAAGATGAAAATAGAGACATTTCTCACTCCCCCTCCCAACTGACCCTCCTTGCCCCCCCCTTTATATGTCCTCCCACCCACAGAGCATTTCCTATCAGAAGAAGGGCAAGTGCCACTACCGCCACACCAATGGGACACAGAACACACAGCCTCTGCTGACCTGAGAAAACCCATTCTAGTCTTTGGTAGATTTACAAAAAAAGAAGAAAAAAGTACACACTTTGAGGGTATGGTCTCCTCCTCTGCTGCATCTAGGAAAGCATTTGAGATA